GGCAGGGTCCCCCCATAGTCCCCTCCCCCAGCCCCTGCTCCCCTGCTTCTAGTACTTACCAGCTCAGAGTGGCTGCAGCTCCCTGCTGCAGCCACTGGGGATTGCCCAAATCATCAAAGCTCTCTGAATCTTTTCTGAAGATTCAGAGAGCTTTGAATCGATGCAGACCTTTAAATTGGTCCCGATTTGATTTGGATTCGGAGATTCAGCCACCAAATCTCCTCCGAATCAAAATAGGACCCAAAGCTTTGCACAGCCCTAGTAATTGCAGCACATTAAAGCAGCCTTGCTGCTCATGTATAGGTGCCCTATAGGTTTATCTTGTGAATCATGCTTGTACACCTAACAGGGCTAACATTGCTCAGCACCCCATGGCATCCATCCAAGGATACCAGGGCACCATAGGGTGCCATGGGTCCTTCATTGAGAATCACTGCTCTAAAGGCACAAGTTGTTCAGTACTTACTTACAAAATACACTGGAAAAGGACAAAGATTTCATTACAGTCAGATTTAACTTTGTTCAGTGGGAAGACTGCTTTTCTTCTACAAATTCTGGGGTGACAGCTAGCTGCCAACTGACTGCAGAGCTATGCACTGACAGGTATTTTCTGTAGAAACACACATTATCATCACTACCCCCTTTTAAATACAATTTAAACTAGTGCTGTAGGACAGAAAACACAGTTTAAAACTACTCAGTGAGGAAGCCACAGTTATCACAAACTTGGTGGGACGGTAGAGCTTTAACCCAACTAGTGTTTAGGTAATAAAAGGTGCAAATACACATGTAAGAAAGAAGAGATTTCTTTTTTAGCCATTTTAAACTCTCATTTTGCTGAAACAGCATCCATATTCATTCCTTTCAACAAGCTCTGCAGACAGTTCAGGATGACAGCGGCTCCAGCACTCTGATACTGTCAACCTCACGTTTCCATAATACTGCAGTAACTACCTATAGGAGAAGTCTATGCAAGTGTGTTACCCTCTCTCTTCATTTTCTTCCTTTTTTTCAGATTCTTGCTCTGTAAATGAATCAGAGACGAGCTTAAGTGCACGTTCAGAATGGGAGACTACTTTCTGGATGGCCTGCAGCTCTTCTTCTGTTGGGTAGATACTAGAGTGCTTTGTCATGATGTGACGGTCATTTGAAGAATCTGGACATCTAGTAGACTGAGAGAAATAAAATGACAAACTTTATTACCAGAGAGACCTGGGTTAAACTGGAAAAAGACTGAAAAAATTCTTAGCAGTGCCCTCACTATCAGACATTGCACATCGTTACAGAACTATATTTAGAGATGCAAAAATGTATACAAAAGAAAAGGAAGCATTTGCCTTTTTGATTATTCAAGCAAGAATAGGGACTCATAAGGTATGACTAGTTTCTGCGTTAAGAAAACAATAAGGACATTTTAGCTGCTGTAGGAAGCAAGATTCAGCAAATGGCATCCTTCCCTTCAAGTTTGCATTCACTAATGTTTCATCACAGAATTAGAGGGTTTTGGACTCTACAAGGGGAAGATTTATGAATGAGACTTAAACAAAACACCTATCCATTTGTGATCCTTAAAAAACAATAGTATTTTGTGCCCTATGGACACAAATTCAACTAAAGTTCTTACATACTGCCTCCTTCTTGCACCCCCTGTAATTTTGACTGGAGAATGTAGTTTTTATCTTACTTTCCCAAGTACTGCATAGGAAGCTGTCAACTTCCAAAGTAATGGTAGGTGTCAGGGGTGACTGGTGCCTCCTGAGTCTGGGGGGCACAA